GGGGTGGCCCGAGGGGGTGGGAGAGGGTCTGGCCCACGCTGCGCCTGGGCTGGGACTGGTCCCGCTGGCGCAGGTTAGCTGGAAGCTCTCCACACACTCACCGGACCTGGGCTAGGACTGGGTCTGATAAACTCTTAAAATTGGGATTATCAATCATATATAAGTGAAACAATTGCCAAACAGTTTTCAAAGTGACTCTACCACTGTTTGCCTACCAGAAATACATGAATGCTTATCAAGTTAGTATCATCAGTTGCCTATGTGTTATCTTTTCTGATAGTTATACATAGTTTTTGTCTACTACAAATACTGCTACAATAAGTATCCTTGTTATATATCCTCTATTATTGGAGTGAGTATATTGGTATAATATATTCCTAGAACTAGAATTCATGGGCTAAAGGGTTTGAAAGGTTGACTTGGCCCAGAATTCTTCTTGGGTTCAAGTAGTCTTCCTGCCTCAGCCTACTGAATAACTAGGGCTACAGGCATATACAATCATGTCTGAGATTATTTGTGAAATGCCTGTTTTAAAAGAAAAATGTACTTGTGTGTGTGTGTGTCTGTGTGTGTGTGTGTGTGTGTGTGTGTGTGTAACTCAGGCCCTTGTGCTTGCCAGGCAAGCACTTACTCTACTGAGGTATCTCCCTAGCCCCTAAAAATGTACTTTAGACAATGGCCACATGAGTATTTGCTTCATAAGATTTTTGATGAGTACTTTAATGAATGTAAAACTTCGGCACATGGCCTACCATACATAGCAATGGATGTTAATTATTGCCTGATCATTGCTGCTCATCAATCGTGCCATTTTTGCCTCTCTGTGCTTCTCTCAGTGTATCCAGTAGTGCTACTCTCTGAAGAGCTCAAATATTCCACCTATGGAATTCAGTTCATCCGCAAAAATCTGAGAAGCTGGGGCCGGGGAGTTGGCCTAGTAGAATAAGTGCTTCCCTGGCAAGCGCAAGGGTCTGAGTTCGATCCCGGGTTCTGGGGGAAAAAAAAAAAAAAAAAAAAAATCTGAGAAGCTGACCAGGCTCGGGCACTACAGTTTCACAGAATAGGGAAACTGGCCTGGATGGGCTACAGGACAGCTCTGTGTCTCATAGGGTTAAAAAATCAACCTAGGGACTGGGGAGACAGCTCAGTAGAATAAGTGCTTGCCTGGCAAGCACAAGGACCTGAGTTCAATCCCCGGTTCTGGAAAAAAAAAAAAAAAATCTAGCTTGGAAGGAAAATTGATTCTTCAAGATTATGCTGCCATTCAAATTGTTTTTTGGACTGTTACCCTCTTTGAGAAATACCTCAGAAGTCAGAACACATACTCCTAAAACAAAAATTTCAGAAAACAAGGTTGTGTTTTTTCTTCATTCCACTGTACTTCATTGAAAATGTGCTCACTGGGATCCACTGATATAAAGGGATCCTACTACGAGATTGGCCAACATTTTAAAGAGTACAGTTCTAGAATCTGGGTCCAGATCCTTTTTATTTAACCGGGCTTTTCAATTTTTCTCTCAATACAACTTCCCACTCAGTTTGGGTGCATTATTTCTATGTTCTTTTTCAAAGGGGGGTTATTTCTGAGACAGGGTCTTACTGTAGTATGTAGACCAGGCTGGTCTTCAATTCCCTATTAGTTCCGGCTGATTTGGGACTAGCAGTCTTCTCGCCTCAGGCTCCCAAATGCTGGAATTACAAGTGTGCCCCATCACGCTGGGCGGCGTGTCCCTTTTTCTTCATTTCGTTGGGATCTTAGAGCTTTTTTCTTCATCAATTATTTCCAAAAATAGCTCTCGGACTTCATCTATGCACTGCCTTGTATTAAATGCTATCGGAAGAGAAAGGGCTTTGAAGAGAACACTTTGGATTCAGATATCACGGCCATCATTTGTGGATGACTGTGGTGAAGACTTCAGCTATGGAAGACTCAGGTTTTGCCTCTAAAGAGGTGTGATCATAGGACCATCTATGAGCTAAGGTGTGTAAAGGATTTGGTGCTTAAGCACAGTGATTCTCCATTCTAACAGCATCGGCGCCAGCCTGGAAACTGGGTAGAAATGCAAACCCTCTGTCCTCACCTCAGGTTTACTGAATCAGACCTCGAAGGGAGGGACCCATTTTTTATGAAGACTTTCACCAATCTATTTTAACAAGATATTGATGCCTACTCTGGTTTGACATTCACAGGCTGAACACCCCTGAAGATGCAGAAACGAGCACCAGCAGTGACAGATGATGAAAGGCTCTGCAGACTCCCATTGAGCCCTGGGGTGCCACCTGCGTGTATTTTTTTTTTTAAATAGGTTTTGAATTGTCTATGTTTAGCCTTTGCCTCCCTCCAACTTCAGTAGGTCCCGCCTACTCTGCTTGCTAATTGGTGGAGTCTCTACGACCCGTCGCTATTCACCCAACCATAGAAAGCATAAATCGAGAGAGGCGGGACCGGGCTCTGTGAGCCCATTGGCTCTAGACCATGCTGCAGAGTAGGACGGACCGCGCGTGCGCAGGGCTAAGGCGCGCCCCGGGCGGCCGTTAACATGGCGACTGTCGCTGAGCTCAAGGCGGGTGAGTGGAAGCGGGGTGGGAGCCGTTTTTTTTTGTTGTTTGTTTGTTTGTTTTGCCCGTAAAATATGGGGCCCAAGGAGAAAACAGGGCCAGCCGTCGCAGGGCGCATTCTGTGGTGTCAGTGTCTGGCGGGTGTCAAAACCGCTGCGCAGAGCGTCCTCAGGGAGCGCCGTGCTTGTCTAGGGGCTTTTTTTTGTTTGTTTTGATACTGGGGAATTAAACCAACTGAGCTTCCGCCCCAGCACTCTATCCATAATTTTGAGATAGAGTCCCGCTAAATTGTCCGGGCTTGACTTAAATCTTATTCTCCTGCCTCAGCGGCCCAGCCCCGC